TAATAGTTCTGAAATATAGGTACTTAACTGCATATCTAAAAAATTGTACATACTTGTAAAAGTCTGCTTTCTTTCATTTATGATACAGCTTGTAGATTTGTATGGATGCCAGTCTGGCCATTACCACTAAAGTTTTATATTCAAATCTTTTGTTTACTATGTTTTTTGTTTTGTTTTGTTTTGTTTCGTTTTTGGTACTGGAGATCAAACTCGGGACCTTGTGCTTTCGAGGCAGTCAGAGGCACCACTGAGATAAATCCCTGGCCCACTATGTTTTTCTTTTTTTTTTTTGGTACCGGGTATCGAACTTGGATCCTTGCGCTTGCGCAACAGGCAGCGAGACCACTGAGCTAAATCCCCGGCCCACACTATGTATTTCTTTAAAAGCTTGCATTTAAAAAAATCTTAAAATAGCTCATAGTGAACAATGATGTAAACCAGCATCTAATAAGACTGTGTAAGTGAAGAGGTCACTTAATTCTATACTGCTTTAAGAAGACTCATATCCTTAGATTTAAGGCCCGCCGTGACTAGTAGTATTAATGACTTCAGGGATATGTTTTGTTGCTGTCAAAAGAAGCCACCATGACTAAAAATGGAAACAAATTTAGTATGCTGTATTTAAGAGCAATGTTTCTCAAAGTGTATTATTTTGATGATAAAAAATGAAAACAAGTTCTCTAGCTAAATAATTTGAGGAGCCACATCTCTGAAATATTTAGTTTCATTACTGAAGTACTTTCTAGGTCTTCTAAAAAGCATTAAAAATCTTTTTAATGCAGGTAAAATAGTAGTCCCCCAAATTACTTGAATGTAGAACCCTTTTATCATAGATTCTGTGTCTCCACTTGTATTCTGTGGAGTTCGGAAGCTGCTGCCATAAAGATAAAACCTAGGGGTGAAAAGATTTTAGTGTTTCATATACAGAGCCAACTCATTGTTGTTGGAAACACATGGCCCATTTTTGCTTTCCATTGTTTTCATTTCAAATACAATAGCAATTATGTTTGATTTCATTTATTATGAGTAAAGTTTCCAATTCAATGCCACATCTTTTTTTCTTAGTATGGAAGAGCACATTCAAGATGTACTCTTTAAGTTAGCCAGCCTTAAGATGGGAAAAGCAGCTTTGCATATGTCAGGATTTGTCTTTCCTAGGATAACACAGCCTTAAGGGGAACACACACAGGACTAGGGGACCTGGAATTGATTTCATTGATGTAAGTCTCTTAAGAACTGTGATCACTGGCAGAGACATAAACGCAAGACAGTCTCAGCTACTCAGCTGAGGCAGGAGGATTGCAAGTTAGAGGCCAGCCTGGCCAACTTAGCAAGACCTTGTTTCAAAAAATAAAAACGACCGAGGATGTAGCTCTGTAGAGTGCTTGACTAGCATGTGTGAAGCCCTAGGTTTGATCCCCAGTATCTCAGAAAAAGGGGGTGGGAGCGGGGAGGACAGAAAAGAAAAAAGAAATTTCTAGACTTTGAAAGATTATTGCAAATTAAATTCCATGAAAATTTAACTTTTAGACAGATTGTTTTTAGGAAGGGTATTAGGAAGTGCTGTTGGGATCAGCACGTGATGAAGGGCAGAGGGAGCAGTTGAGCTAAAGTGAAGTCTCTCTGAAGGCCTCAGATGACCCCATAAGAAGCCCTGGATCTGTGGTGAATATTCAAAGTTGCTTCAAGTTGGGGTGAAAGGACTGGACATTAACAAGTACTTCATTACTCAGTCATTGGATGGGGCTGCCCCCTTAAGCACACTGACCTGCTCTTGTTAATCAAACAACCTCCTGAAGAGGCTTAAGAGCTGAGAGATATCTGGAGTGACTTTTATCGGCTGCAGGAATGCTTTCCTTCCTTTCTTCCTTCCTTCCTTTTCTCTCTCTCTCTCTCTCTTTCTCTCTCTCTCTCTCTTTCTTTCTTTCTTTCGTGATAGTGGGAATTGAATTCAGAGCCTTCTCACTGAGCTACACCCCCTGCCCTTTTTAAAATTTTGAGACAGTATCTTGCTAAATAGTTCAGGCTGGGCTGGAACTTGCAATCCTCCTACTTCATCCTCCCAGTGCTGGGATTACAGGCATTTGCCACTATGTCTAGCAGTCAGGAATTTCTGAAATTATGTGGCTCATCACATTGCAATTAATCAGTGAGATACTGTTTTGGGCTCTGACAGGAAAGCCTTGATAACACATAAAGATTGATTTTTGTCACATAATGAGAAGTTTAGAGATCCTAGCATTCGTGTCTTTTATTCTTGGTTCTCCCCCATGCCCTGAAGGTATCTGCTAGACCTCCAGCCAGCAGGTCTGCATTCTAGGCAGCAAAGATTCCTAAAAGCTCCACCCAGTGACAGGCTTATATAAATGTATTTGTAGCAGAGGTTAGGACATGACATTTTTCAGCACATGCGTTATGTTTTCAGTTCTAGTTTTAAGCCTACAGTTCTATCTCAGAGGAAGAATGGATGTTGACAGTGACAGCTACTAGTATTTGCCACACACACACACACACACACACACACACACACACACACAAAACCCCACCACGAATCTGAGTCAATGGGAAGAAAAAACACTGCAAAACTGTCATTCTTTGTTGAAGTTGCTGGGATGGGTGATGGGGATGGGAGGCTGAGAATATGTTTGTTGAGTACAGACAAGATTTTAGGAAACCAGTTAGATAGGTAAGAATTAAAGAATTTCAACATCAGCAATTGGAAAAACTAGATAGAAAATTTACCTTAAAGACCCAGTGAAATTTTCAGATAAACCATTTCCTTATATGCTTCCTTACAGGGCAGCAATCAGCTACCAGAAAAAAACAAACAAACAAACAAACAAAAATTTTAAAACGAGGCAAAGTCTTCACAGTCATGCCAGGCAGAAATTTAGTGAAATTTCAGTTCCACAAATTTTATTGAAAAGTTTCACAGGTGCCTATTTTAATCTTCTGAAATCTAATAGCACAGAAAAAGTTATGTTAAGAATATTCTGCTAGCCAGAGAATATGCTTTCATGTACTACAAAAGCTATCTTATCATGCTCACTTCTTAAAATCTGCTTTGAGATCCCTTTCCCATAATAATCACAGTACCAAAGGGTTATATCTGACATCTTTCTCCATGCACCACTAGTGAAAGATGGGCCTTCCTGCTGGTTCCTTCCACTCTGGACCATCACAGCAAAGGGTTGTGACACAGCAAGATGTACTGTGTGAAATGCTTAGCTTGCTGACCCAGACCACATGGTTTCAAAGCCCAGCTCTAGGTGATCTTGAGCCAGTAGCTCACAAGTAGGACCAGTTAAGAGACATTTGACATTTGGCAATGTCTGGAGACATGGTTTTCATAACTAGGGTGGGGCATCTAGTGGTAGAGGCTACTAAATATCTTACAATTCACAGGACAGTCCACTAAGAATTGCCTGGCCCAAAATGTTAACAACATTGAGGTTGAGAAACCCCATTTTAACTTTTCCAAGCCTCCATTTCTTCATCCAGAATTGGGGTTCATAACAGTGCCTGTTTAATCATTTTCATGATGGTTATATGCATTAATCCACTTGAAATAATTCGCATAGTGCCTGGTATATAAGTACTCTGCTAATATGAGATGTGATTGAAAAATATGGTGAATATTTTTAAAAATCCTTATAATAAAATACACTTTGCCATTAATCCCTCTCAAAATAATTCCCCTCACTTTAAACGCATTTATCCCATTACTCTTGCTCCTTTCTGAAGCAATTGTGAAAGTCTTATTTTGTGAGTGTCTTTACTTGCACTGTCATGGCTGCCTTAGTGATTTCCTGAATCATTTCAAAATGTTTCTTTTCATAGTCATTTTGACCTTAGGAAAGAGCCAGACGTTTCCCAGGTCAAGATCAACTGAAGAAGGTGGATACACCGTAAAGCTTTTATGAAGCTATCTTTCTGTTAGATGGCACTTAACAGCAGTATTCACCATATTTTTTGTCATACCTCATAAAGACACAAAAGAGGTCTTCCAAAATTGTTTCAGAAAGTGGCAGAAATCACGGGATAAGTGTGTTCAAAGCAAGAGAAATTATTTTGTAGAGGATTAATGGCAATGTGTTTTCTGCTGAAATAAAATTTTTTTTTTGGTACCAGGGATCGAACTCAGGACCTGCACTGGTGAGTCAGGCAGCAGCACCACTGAGCTAAATCCCCCGCCCATAAAATTTTAAATTTAAGCATCCACTGTATGTTTGTTGTTTGGTACCGGGGATCCAACTCAGGACCTTGCACTTGCAAGGCAGGCGCAATGCCACTGAGCTAAATCCCCGGCCCTTTGCCGTATGTTTTGATCAACCTTTGTATAAATTATACTCCTCATCAGTCACACAAATTTGGATATTTAGTCAGAATGAAAAGAGCATCCTCTGCTATCTATATCCATGCAACCATGGAAATCCATTTGCCTCTTTCTTTTATTGGGTGAGAATTTCTAAAGAATAAAGAAAACAAGGAAAAGACTAGAAATCCTTGGTTACCGAGTAAAAGATAATGAATGAATATTTAGGTGAACACATACTTTACTTATTGTCCTAAGAAAACAATGCTCAATTCTATTCAGGTACATAGATATTTTTACATTGACATTGATCCCTCTCCTCCCCTCTCCTTTCCTCTCCATTTTTCACCTTCTTGCAAAGTTATGCCTCCTTTCTTCTTCACATCTTTTAGAGTTTCAAATTTTTCAGTCTTTTCTGGTTATACAGGACTTGAGAGCCTTTAAACTAATAGAAGTCATTAACCAGGACAAAGCACTGGTATATTTCCAAATAAAAATTGTGTCACCATTACAAATTATTCACATAATAACCATATAAGTTTCTGATATGTTTGTTAAATTTTCAAATCAATAATTTCCACTTTGTAATTCTATTAGGAAATACTGTAAGTTCAAAATCCTAACTTAACTTAGTAGCCATTCATTCACATTGCAGTGATATTTATGATTACTTTTTATTTTCAAGGCAAATGCAATAGGCCGAAGTGCTAAAACTGTTCGAGAATTTCTAGAAAAGAATTACTCCGAAGATGCTGTATCAAATGACAGTGAAGCTATCAAATTAGCAATAAGAGCATTACTAGAAGTAAGTGATGTGTGCATTCATAAAATCTTAGGTTATTTTCCTTATCCACTTGTATTTATTAAAAACAAACTTTGTTGAACAAGTAGTCTTCTGTGCATGTTAGACATGCGCTCTACCACTGAGCTGCACCTTGAGCCAGCTCAAGCAGTTCTGATGTGTACTTGTTCTACATTAGGTTGTCCAGTCTGGAGGAAAGAACATTGAACTAGCTATAATAAGAAGAAACCAACCTTTGAAGGTAAGTCATTAACCAGAGAAGAAAAGAAACAGTATATTTTAACAAACGTTGAAATGTTACTGATACTTGTGAATCTTCATTATAATCTTCATTATAAGCACATACTCATACTCATTGATACCATGATGACTTTTGTTTCTGTAGGCTAATAGATACTTCTTTGTATGTGCTTATTTCAGGCATTTACCAACCCGTCTCTTTGTGGATACTTGGAAGTGCTGAGATCTCTGCATAGGCCTATATTTAGTGATTTTGCTATAAGGAGGAACACCTAAGTAGTAGGTCTTCTGTTGGGTTGGTATAGTGTATTCCCTATAGAAATTCATTGCCAGTGCTACATTGACAGCGGTTATTCTTCCTGTCCTTTAGATCTGAAATCAAGGCATGCTTCCAGGCAGTGTGATTCAGGCATTTTTATATAATTATATCCTTCCTGATTGATGTTGTTTGTTTTTTTGTTTGTTTTTGGTGGTAGTGGGGATCAGACAGAAAGCCTTGGATGTGCTAACCACACACTTCACCACTGAGCTGCATCCCCAGCCCTGTCTGCTAATTTTGATCTGTTTTCTCTACTTTTCACTTGAAAGTGCCTTGAGCATCTGTCAGACTTAAATCCCCAGCCCCAGCCCCTGTACCAGGGATCTAACTCAGGACCTTGCGCTTGCAAGGCAGGCAACACTGAGCTAAATTCCTGGCCCTTTCAGACTTAAATTTTAATCTCTAGCATATTAACTTTTCCTCTGGCAAGTCTGACATTATCTGGGTGCCTTTCTTCAGCCATTAGGATTAAAATTGCCAGATCACAAGATTAACTAGTCAGAATATTGTGATAGAGGATGGCTAAAGACCATTTAAAGTGGTTCACTGTTGTTTTAGGTAGAACTGTATACAGTCTGATTTGTTAACTCTGTAGTTGAGAGTGTACTAAAGCACTGAAATCATAGCAAATTCTATTAAGAACACACTTGCAGGGTTGTTCTACATATTATACATATACTTTCACTGGTTTTAAGGAAAATCTTTCATTCTCTCTTTCATTCTCTCTTTCTGTGGCACAGGGGATTGAATATTGGACGAGAATTGTTAGCATTGCTTATCGTCTTTAAATGGCTTATACATTTTTTCTCTTGTTCTCTTTATATCTTTGACTTATACTTTTTTCTCTTTTCTTTATTTTCTCTTTCTTCTCTTTTTCTCTTGTCATTATGGAAGGCTGGCCTAGTGTGAAAGACTGAGTTTTCAAGCCAAGGGTAGTCTTTACTCTTGATTCCACCATTCACTAGCTGTGTGACTGAATGAGTTGTACAGCTTCTCTACACTTCAGTGTCCTCAAAGTTAGAAGAAATAAAATTCACTTAAATTCAACTTACTTGAACTTAAGCATATGTGACAGTATTTATGTGTCATGCAGATGGATACAGCAGACCTGACAAGGATAGGTCAGTAAACCACTCTATCTCTGATATCAGTTTAAGAACAAGTACTCCAGACATCATGGTAATAAAGGTTTATACTACTAAATGCATTTATTATTATGTGTTTTTTCTAAGTTACTAATTTAATGCTCGTCATAACCATAAGCGGAAAGGCTATTATTCTACAAGTAAGGAAACAGCAGCATAGAAGTTCAGTAATTTCCTTACACTGTGAGGTGGTAGGACTAGACTTTGCACTAGGGTAGTTCTAGAGTCCCACTTTTAATCTCCACTGAACTATGTCCCACGCAAGGATTCAACAAAACAGAGAATGCGACAAGATTTACATTATTTTCATGAGGAATCTATGGAGACAATAACAAAAATCAGTTTTCCAAGATCCTCTAATCAAAATTCTATGAAGAAAAAATGTAGGCTGTTTGGACAGATGTTGAAACTCTTTGGCAGAGTGGTTTGTTTCCCTTAAATCAGAGGTAGATCTGGTTCCTGGATCCTTGGCAGCAAGTATGACAACCGAGCCCAGTACCCATACCTCTACACTGTGTGATCATACCCTGTCATTTATGTGTGGCTGCTCATGGGACAGACCCCGCCACCCTGTGCCCAACTCTTGTATCTATAGAAATTTTGCTGCATTCTATCCTCACATCCCATCTGTTAGCTAAATAACGTAAGGTAGAAAAGTGCTATCTAAACAATGACAACAAAACCCAAAAGTGAACATCCCTGCTGCTCTGAACAGCACTGATTGTAATACTACTTCTCCTGAAATATTTCCCATAAGTGGGCATGGTGATGTGTGCCTATAATCTCAGCACCTTGAAGTGCTAAGGAAGGAGGATAACAAGTTCAAGCCTTGTCTGGACAATTTAGTGAATTAGTGAGACCCTGTCTCAAAATAAAAATGGCTGGGGCTGTAGCTTGTTGCAAAGGTCCTAGGTTTGGTCTCCAATTTAAAAAAAAAAAATCAGAAGATAAGTGTTGGCAAAGAAAATTTAAAAGAACCCTTAGTGCCTACATAGAGGTTAATGATGATAAACAAATTCCAGAAAAAAACCCTTGGACTTGCTGGAAACAGTTATAAATTGCCAACCTTGAAATGAGATAAGATAGAAAGAGTTAAAGTCTTCAGGTGGAAACAGACTGGCTATACATCCATACAAAAACTCCCTCAGATTTCCCTCCACATCCCATGGATCCAGCTGACCCTCCCTTACCTCCTGGACCAGAGATGACCAAACAGACTTCTCAGCCTGGTTTATACTATTTCTGGAACATGTTATTTACCCTTTAGACTGGAAGATTCTTTTCTGGAGAAACTAAATAACTTGCTTAGTTTGGGGTGCTTTAACGGAATACTATTGATTGGCTTAAACAACAAACATATATTTCTCAAGTTCTGAAAACTACAAGTCAAAGATCAGATGCCAACATGATCAGATTCTAGTGAGGGCTTTCTTCCTGGTTCATGAAAAAGGCCACCTTATTTCTTCACAAGGGGCCAGGATGGGGTTGTAGGGTTGTGGAGTTGTAGAGTTGTAGAGGGAGGAAGAGAAGGACAGAAAGAGAGAGAGAGAGAGAGAGAGAGAGAGAGAAGAGAAGAGAATATCAAATCCCAGTGGCCTTGTCTCCTAATACCATCACTTTGGACTTTAAGATTTAACATAGGAATTTTGGAAGCAAACAAACTTTTAGTCCGTAGCATAATATCCGGTTTTTTTAAAGCCTAAAGTAACAGATATTTGAATTTTTCCCAGTTAAAGAGCATATCTTATCCCACCACCTGATAACCATGTAGGGAGCCCATTCGTTGACTTCCTCCACTATATTCTCTACAAATTTCCAGTTCACTTTTCAGTGCCAGTGCCTCACTCTTAAACACAAATATGAAAGTTTAGCCAAGGATATTCAGGCATTATGAACATTAAACTAAAACAGAAAGAAACAGAACCTAGCAATAACACACATTATAGGACTCTGAAGAAATCTTTTAAAAACTAAAAACTGTAATTAATAGCCTCAGAGAGATGAGGGAATACTTTAAAAAAGAAACATTCAGAGAGTCCAAAGTGCTCTTTTGGAAAACAAGACTATACTGGCCAGAATTAAAAATTCAGTAAAAAGATTAGAATACAAAATGAAATCAAGGAAATCTTCCAGAAAGTAAAGCACAAAGATCTAGAGATAACCATAGGAAAGATAAATTTAAATATTAGAGTATAAGTTCCATTCTATCTACAATAAAAAGGAAAAACAGATATGAGAATTAAAATTATCCATGAAATACTAGAAGGAAAATTCTTAGAACTCTAGGCTACAAGTTATGAAGCTTTTAGCATGGTAAATGAAAAAGAGCAACCATTGATATTTCATCAAAAAGTTTTGGAAACCAGGGATGAAATGGGAGTCAGGAAGACACATGATGTAGGTACTAGGAAGTCAGGAGATGATGTCTGAGATGGGATAAAGAAAGAAATAGCAGTGAAAACATAATGCAGAAATTCGAAGGTAAATAGCAGAAGGAACAGAGTTAATTGAGGATTGGAGGGAGCAGAGGTGGATCAGGGGATCGTTATATTCCACTATTAACTTTTTTGTGCCATTTGAGTTTATATACTTAGGTACAAATAGTACCGGGGTAAAGGGACTTAATTGGATGTAGCTTGCTACCTCCTTGATTTCAAAATGTTCAGACACTGGACCTATTATTGTGAAGGCCTCTTGTACTCTTCCCCAAATAATGTCATACCACTTTATTCAGCTTTTTATTTTAACACAGTGATCTATTACATGTCTGGTTTCCTTCCACTAAGCTGTAGACTCCTTACTGGAAGGCAAGAACTGTACTGTCTCACTTTTCATTTTCAGAGCCCATGAAACAATAAATGCATGATGGGTACATTTACATCATAATATGATTAGATAATATACATAAATTGTTGACAAATACGGATTTTCTGATATACATCTTACTTTTGAAATGGAAAGATTCTGGAGTTAAAACAGGAGTCAGTCTTCATTTTTAATCCCTCTTCAATTTTTGGTCAAATAAATTAGCTTTAGGAATCTCAACTTCCTTATATATAAAATCTGGCAGTGGACTAATTGCTGAAATCTCTTCCTTCCCTATCATCTTTTAAAATTTGTTTTGTCATAAAGTTGCTTATTCCTTTTTTCAGTTTCCTTAATAGCTCTTTCATTATTAAGATAACTAAATTTAGGTCTCCCTATGTAAATATCTTCAGTTAAATAGACTTTTAGCATCAATTATATAATCTGGATCTGGTTGTGAGGAGTAAAACTTGAAATCAAAATTATGTTGTAAATTCTTAGAAGATACAAACTCTCTTTGCTTTCTGCTTAGTGAAGGAAACAAACAAAGCAGTGTAAATCATCTTTTCTCATCTCTCTTGGCTATTTTATAAGCTACCTTAAAATAGTTAAACTCTATCAGAGAAGTACCAAACAGGGTGAGGTGAGGGCGCTTCAATAATGTGTTTTTTGCTCCTGACTAATGATAAGCCTTGCATTAGAGTGTTTTCAGAGTTAGATGCATGAATAGATGTATAATTTACTATCGCATTTTACCCAGCTTTCTTTTATAGTACAATGATACTGAAAATGTTAGAGATCTGATTTTGTCCATAATTATTATGTGTTGCTTTTTATTATATATTTGAAGATACAAAACATAAAGTTATGAGTAGAAAATATAAATTTGTAGAAGATGGGATTTCTTTGTATTGTCATTATAAAATTTGCTTTAAAATTTTTTTTCCCCTTTTCAGATGTTTAGTGCCAAAGAAATTAAATTACAAGTAACTGAATTAGAAAAGGAAAAGGAAGAAGCAGAGAAGAAAAAATCAAAGAAGACTGTCTAATTCTTAGGATGAACACTGGGAGCTTTTCAGTAGTTTTGTTATACTACTTGGAATTACTGGGGTTTTAGATGAAATAAGTTTTCAGTGTCATGTTTAGTATTTGTATGTGCTGCTTTGAAAATGCCAGATAGGTGGCCATCTTTATAGTCTATTACCCAGTCAGACATGGGTTAATGTGAAAATTTTCTTTAAAAGGAGATTCCAGTAATTGTTGAAAGTAGTCCTAATTCTACATAAGCCTGAAGCTGTATAACTTTTCGAGTGTATTGCTTTTCTTCATATAACCAAATTTGATTAAGAGAAAATTTCTAATTTAAAAAATCAGTAATTTAGTGAAGTTTGAATATTCACTGTCAGTTAAAAAGCTCTTTCAAAATATATTAAATTTAACACTGAATTGCTTTTGTTAAATGCATGAAAAAGCATCCCTATGTTGATAAACTGTCAAAATTTTGTCAAATTTCATTTTAAATATTTTGGAGTTTTTAAAAACTCTTTTTATTTTATAAGTTGCAATGTACTATCTTGTTCATGGGATATTAAAGTCCAAATCCAAATGGGCAGGTAAAATGTAATAAGAGTTTAAGGGCATTCTAATAGGATGCTAGTTTGAAATAGGAAATTAATACCAGTAATTTTTTTTTTTTTTTTTGGGGGTACCAAGGATTGAACTCGGGTCCTTGTGCTTGCAAGGCAAGCAATGGAACCACTGAGCTAAATCCCTAGCCCTATATCAGTAATTTTTAGTTTAGATTTTATTTCATCTCAAGTTTGTTCAGTATGTTAGGTTTGTTACATGTTTTTCTGTCAAATGCTTGAGTGCTTATGTTATGCTTGCCATTATGCTGGGCATATTAGGAGGAACAAGACAAGTATATAAAGTGATTCCTGCCCACAGACAGGGTTGGTCTAAATGGCCCACAAAAACCATGTGCTTAATGCCTGTAGTGAGTTATGTATTTGAAAACAAAGGATATTAACAGGCACAAAAACATAAGCACATATACCATAGTATTTCAGAGTTTGTTTTCTGTTTTTGTTTTTGTTTTTGTTTCTTTTTATGTACTGTGTTGAAAATAGGAAAGAGTCAAGTTGAGTTTTTGGTGAGGAATGAAAAGCTCAGGACTGAGCCCAGGGCCTTCACACCGGGGCCTGCCCCAGCCTTTTGTTTTGTTTTGTTTTGTTTTGTTTTGTTTAATGAGACGGGGCCTCACGGAACTGCCCAGGCTGCGATCAGGTGTGTCGCGCCCCACCTGAGCCAGCTGGTCTATTTCAGACAAATCAGATCAAGGTGGTAAAGAAAAGCATGGGTCAGCAGGTCTCAGAAGACCTGAGCCACGGATGGTCCCACTACTCTAATGCCAGGCCAAAGAAAAGGGTAGGTTCAGAATTTTAAGAAATATAATGGCCTTATAAGGCTGCCTCACTGGTGTTCATCTTGGCTAAATTTACTGCACTTCCATTCCCCACATGTAAGGATTATGTGGCATTTTCTAGGGCTCTATGTACACTCTGTATTCCTGACTCTGACTTATGGCCAGCTGCTTTCCTAGTTTTTTTTTTTTTTCTCCTAGTTTCATTGGAACCATGGAATATTGTGAGTCCCTGTACACTTCCTTTGTAAAAGTTTAGGATCAGACTGAAATATCCGTATCCTAATGCCCTCCTGGCCCTGCTTAACTTTACAGAAGCAAAAGTGCTTCCTATGTGAAAGATATACTACACAAAATTTAGCGCTTTTGACAAAAAAAATTTAATGATCAATAATCAGCTGCCACTAGAGATATCCTAAACACAGATGCAGAAGGCATGTGTCCTACTGTACTACAATGAACCCATTGTGAAACCTCGATGTCCTTGAAACATGGCTCAGCATGTTGCACAAGTACTTCTTTTTTAGCAGTTGTCATATTATATTAGAATGATCTGTTTGATCTACTTATTTGACGATTATTGAGTGCTTTAAATGGCAGACACTGTGTTAGATGCTAACTAGTGATATAGACTCACTTTTTCCTTATTTCTATATACTAGAAAGACACATTAAACTCAAATAATTTTAATTACATTTGGGATTAGTTGGTGAAGCTCATTGTAGCTGTCTTCTAAACTAGAAGACCTTCAGGAGCTTTAGGCAGAGATGCATGTCTTTTTCATCTCTGTTTCCATAGCATGACTATGGCTATGACTTAAAACTCCTTGTATCCAGACTGTATACAACTCCTTGTATTCAGACTGTATCCCTTAAAACATCAGATATTGGGAGAAAGGAGGAGACAGCCTGTTCTAATAACTTAGTGTAAAAGTCAGCATCCTAACATCTTTGGCACTTGTTAAACATTATAGTGATGGGAAGGTATCACATAGTCAATGAATATAAGTTCATATATATTCATATACAGTATATTCAAATGAAAGTGGGTTCAGGCTCTGGTTAAATAAAAATGGGGATTTTCCAGGAAGGTAGGACCAAATTATTATGCAATAACATATGGCTCTGGAAAACCTGAAGGTGCAGTAACTGAAATGGCATTCCTATACTATTCATCTCTGAACATTATCTGTGCAGGTACCAGAAATGAGCAAGATATAGTCTTTGTTCTGAAGAAGTCATAATACCAAATAGTCAAGCTCATTCTTTTTTTTTAATCTTAAGATCATAATGTGATTTTAATTCCAGGTCATGGAAAAGAATACTCTATTAGTTAGGAAGCATAACATCACACTGTTTAATGTTCCTAGATGTCTAGTACAGATTAAGTTTTCTTAACATCAACATTAACTGGAATAGCTGCATATTTTTTATTATACTTCAAATGTCCAGAAAATTATTAACGAATTAAACAGACAATTGGATACAATTGAAAAACAGCACTTTCAATATACAGAGTTTAAAGATTTTTAGTAATATTTCTTTAACATAATTTGTCCTTCATTTTAAAGCTGTAGCATATTGATATTTGAGGATAACATTTCCAGCAACTACAGCATAGTGTTGGGTAGAACAGGCCTTTGCAAAGAAGCCTGTCCTGTCAGCATCTACAGCTCTTTGACACCAAATTACTTGCCCCAATTTATGAAGGCGCAAATCTACACAGCAATGGTTTATGGAATCTGTTTCTCTTATAATAAAATAGTGACAAATTAAGATGATTTTAAAGTACACAAAATACAACAATTTTATGCCATGTGGTTATATGAATAATATTCCTAAGAGACTTTAAATCTTTAATACTCAACTTCTGTCAAACACTTTGAAGCATAGAACTATATTTAAAAACCATATGGCTTTCAATTTTTGATATTCATCCCTGAAAGAAGGCAAAACACAACAATAACATGTCTCTGAAATGCAAGTTTCTAACACAAGGTCAATCTAGAAATACATTTTAAAATTCAATAAGTTGTCTTTTTAAATCAGTATGCTCAGGATATAATTTTCAAACACAATCTGAAGTGATTTTCCAACATTTGTTCACCATCTAACTTTTGCTCCCTCATAAAAATACACCTATGGGACCATTTTCAGTTCCATAATTTTCATACTTACTAGCTCAAAATATCTAGCCAGATAGGAATATCTTTTTTCTCTGCATTTCCACATATGAAAAAGATTTTACTTCATTCTTATAATGAGCCACCACTAGCAATAACATTCTCTTTTGCTGGAGCTTAAAGTAAATCTGAACAGCTCAAAAGATTTTCATAAAATTATGAACCTGCCAGGAAGAGCTGAGAATAAACACACTTCCTTCAAACAATTTACCAGCTAAATACAGTAACTAGACACAGAAAGAGACCATCATTCCAAGAATGACATACTTTTTGACTTTCTGACCCTCCCTGGGCACAAGGGAGATACAGAGCCAGGTCATCCCAGGAGAACCTTGTAGATGCCCAAGGGTCTTACACTGAGCTAGAAAATGGAACCACCTGCTTTTAGCCCACATAAACCTCCTCAATATTTCAGTCACCTCCTAGATAGAAGAACTTCTGAATAACAGCATCAGAAGCATCACCAGTAAAATGCCCACAAACAGGTCTATGGGAGAGTCAGATGCTTTGGTGTTGATCAGGATGGCGTCAAATTCTTTGCCAACTTCAAAGTTTCCAATCTCACTTGCCAGTCCCAGGCCTTGACTTCCTCCAAGAGTAGCTAGTCTGAAGACTTCGTTGAGTGAGCAGCTTTTCTCATTTACCTTTATTAATAAAAGGACATTGGAAACCATCACTGCTCTTCTGATTGCATCAAGCATGGAATATGAATAACCACCAGCCACATCTGTCCCCAGCCCTATCTTCACCTTATGTTTCAGGACTTCAAGCACATTTAGAAAACCATTGCTGAGTAATAAGTTTAGAATTGGGACAACATGATATGGAAGCTCCTCATTCACGAAATATGTCCAGTTCTTCTGCAGAAAGGTAGCCGCCATGCACCATCACTGTCTTATTGGTCAGAATATTTTTATCATAGATATCTGTGTAGGTCTTATAACTGGGGAACAAGTTTTTCAGTGCTTCAACTTCATCCAGAGTTTCACTTTTATGGCTCTGAATGTGCAACTCATCGGCCTTAGCAGTGCTGCCAAGTTCACCTATCAAGGTCTCAGAGCAGGAAAGGGAAAAACGTGGTGTCACTATGGGCATCACTCTGGAATACTTCAAGCATTTCTGACATTAATCTTTTTGTTTCCCTGACTGATTCCTCAGTGATTTCCTTATATTCTGGAACACTGTTATTCAAATCCATGCACATTTTGCCAACAAATGCCCATTGCCCAAATTTATCTGTAATTTCTGCAAGGAGCAGGGATCCATCCTTGTGAATTGTTCCAAAGTAGCAAGCTGTGGTTGTTCCATTCTTTAATGTTCTCCTAACATCTTAGGTGTAGATTTCCTCAGCAAGCGTGGTGCTCTGGAATTTATGCTCCATAGGAAATGTGTAGATCTTCAGTCACTCCAAAAGTGGCAAGTCTACATTACTTCCAGCAAAGGTGTACTGAGGGGCATGGACGTGTGTATCTACCAGCCCAGGTATGAAGAACTCATGGTGGCCCAGCTCTCTTATGTTACTTGATTTGAAGCCCCATTCTTTGGATAGTTTTTCTTGCTGAGATGCTTCTTCTAAAAACACTATTTTGCCACTGTCGCTCAGGCCAAGGAGATGATCTCGAAGCACCTCCATGGGGGATGTCTATGTGGACTGGATGAAAGTCCCTCAGAAGATATGAGCCAGGGGCAGAATCCGGGTGGCACACAGGTCAGTGCAGGGGTTGGGTGTGGAGGCATACAGCGAGGCACGTGGGACTCTGCACTGTCAAATTCATTCTTACAAGTTATATGAATGCTGAAGTCTGTTTCTGTTTTGGCTTGTAACTAAATGTCCCCCGCAAAGCCTCATGTGGTCATAGGTAGGGTATTTCAGAGGTGAGTGGATATAAGGTGTGTGATACTGGGATCAAGGGCATATGATACTAAATTGGTATAGCATCATTCTGGGTGTGGCTAATGGAAGGCTCATCCTGGGTATAAGTGGCACCAACCAATAGGTTTGTAGCCAGAATGACTACAAGACTATAAAGGGAAAGATAGAAGGGAGGCTACTATTGTTTTCCTGGCTCCTGCCTACCATGCCATGGACCGTTTCTTCTCTGTGATGTCCCTCTGCCATGCCACCCTGCCTTGGAGCCAGCTGACTATGAACTGAAACCTCTACCATCTGTGAGCCAAGATAAACCTTTCCTCCTTTAACTTGTGGGTATCAGATATTTTGTCTGTCATGAGAAAGACAGTTTTCTTTACAAGCTGTGATTTAGTATGGGGTATGTTGCTAATGGTTTCTGAGTAACTTATTTAAATATTCCCTAAAGTAGTACACAGCACCAGATCTTTTATTTTTGGGTTTTGTTTTTAGACAGGCTCTTGTTATGTAATTCAGGATGGCCCTGAGCTCACTATATATCCCAGGCTGGCCTCGAAATCAAGGCAAGTGCTGGGATTACAGGTGAGTGCCACCATGCCCAGCACCACCAGATCTTTTCAAAAGGAAATGAAACCTATTTATTGTGTTAACAAAAGAAGGGGTGAGACCTCCATGTGTCCCAGTTTCTACCTCTGATCTGAGACCAGGACAATCTGTACCTCTGGGTGGATTTGGCATAAATAGATTAAATGTTAATGGATCTCTTCTAAACTACAGCTCATCTCTGTGGATCTCCATATTTCTAATCTTGGAGAAGTAGGAATACATCAGCTGAAGGATATGTGTAATTTCACTCCTTACTTTAACTTAACAAGTACTCATAAAATACTGCCTGCCAGACACTATTATGAGTTCCTCACAAAGAGTAACTCATTTTACTCCCTTACCAATTCTCAGGAGATAAGCTCTATAACTTACACCCTGGTGCTGTAGCTTGTAGTGCTCGCTACCACAACTGTCCATCAAAATGGGAATGACTTCTCATTAATCTGTCCCTCACAGGATGTAAGGGGCAAGAACTTTGTTATGGTTTAAATATGAAGTGACCCCCGGTGACTTGTATATTAGGGCTTAATCCATAATGTAGCAGTATTCAGAGTGGGGCCTGGATTGGATCATGAAGGCACTAAGCACATCAATGAATAGAACCATTCATTAGTTTAATGGGCTGTTAGGAAACAGGACCTAGTTGAAGGAGATAAGTCACTGCGAGTGTGCCTTTGAAGTATTTTCTCTTTGGGGGCTCTTTCCTTTCTACACTGCTTCCTGGCTCCCATGAGGTGAGCAGCTTTCCTCATCCACAGTCTTCTACCATGATGTTTCTGCCTTGGAGCCTCTTGACCCTAGAGCAAAACCCCTAAAACTGAGAGCCAAAATAAACCTTTTCTTCTTTAAGTTGTTTTTGTTGAGTATTTAATCACATTAGTGAAAATTTGACCAACATAAGCTTTAAAATCTTTTAAAAAAAAAATATCATTGGCCTTGTTCCTCCAGGGACTCAGTTACTC